ACCACCGCCGCCCTCATCAGATAAGACATCCTCCAGGGTCTCAGGCCTCCTTAGCACATTTCTTAACAAAAGCCGCCAGCGTACCTACAGGAAGAGAAACAGCATGAGCGTAAGGTTTTGAAGGTCTGGGCCGATTTCTTGGACCTGCGCTGAGCCCCCCTCCCTGCCAGAGGCGGCGCTGGAGGCGCCGCCAGGGGGGTCAAACGCAGCTCTAAGAAACCTTCGCGGACCGTCGACCAATTATGTTTGTGCCTGTCTTCTTTTTCGAATGCCAATGCAAAAAACACAATCAGCCATCCCCAACGATACATTCGATTTTCAATCTGCACCGTGACACTGAACACGTGGAATTGTGCTGCAGAGCCAAGTGCGCCAGCTGAGAGGCGAAGACTGGAAAATAAGATTTTCTGTCCTCGTCGTAAGCGAGTTCAAGCCGTTCAGGAGCTTGATGCCATCAATGCCATAACGACTTTGGGGAGGCGACGCGGTGGCTTCGAGCAGAGGGCGCTGCACCAAGACTGGTATGCAATACTTTGTGTAACGAGCGAAACGCTTATAGGACAACGGTGGCCTGAGCTTGCGCCCGAATGGCTGTAGACCTGGAGAAACCATGCAAAAAGAAATGTGCTCAGCGGAGGGGCCGAAACCAGCTGCATGGGGCGGAATGTGTACCCCAAGGAAACTCCTGTCTCCTCCGGCTCGAATTGCACAGCGCTGGCTAAGCGTGTGGGACTGCACGCCAGGGCTGCAACTCGCCACTGACCTCGACAAGACATCTGGTGTCACAAAGCCCCAGCTCCAGATCGCGCGGAGACGTGAACGGCCGCCTGTCTTCACGTCTTCGCGCGCTTCTCCAGCCCTCTTCGCAGCTGCCGATTTCCCTGTCCACTGGCGGCAGAGCCACAGGTCTCAGGGAGGGTGCCGGAGCAGGTTTCTCAACAAGTGTTACAGGCGGGGGCTCGATGCGAAAAAGCAGGCGCCTTCGGCAGTAACGTTGATAAGTTGAGCATTGTAAATGAGCGTGGGCTGACAGACGCTGGACGACAAGGGGCAGTTGCAAACAAATCGGGCGTGGCAGTGCCCAAGGCGGAGCTGGTTGTATCATATCGGGCGCCTGCGTGGGTGTTTTAAGAGTTGGGGCAATAATGGCTGAGTCAGCTGTGGTGCTGAACCAACTGAAAAATGAAAACGTCAGGGGCACCGCGACACTTCCCCCCTCCGTGGGCAGCAAGCAGCACGGCGAGCCGACGGAAAGACCCTCCCTCCCACACGAGACGCTCCGAACAGCGCCGCTAAGTCAGTGGAAGAGGAAGAGCAAGGGGAGCAGGAGCAACTGTAGAGAACCAAGAGGGGGCAAAAGGCCCGTCCTGCCCGGATAAAGAGAAAGGGGATGGGGGTGGCGCAGATCAGCTCTCCACCCCATTTTTGCTTTCGGCTTCTTTCTCCCCTCGCGCCACGTCCACTCTTCTCCTTCCTCGCCCACTTTGACCCCCGCCCCTCCTCCTCCGCATCGCCCGCCGTCGCCTCGCACCACATATCCGCCTCTCCTCTGCGTCTTCCTTTCTTCCCTCCTTCTGCCTGGAGGGAGGGAGGGAGGGAGGGACGGAGGGAGGGAGGGAGGGAGGGAGGAGGAAGTGGCCGTGGCGCGCGTCGCGCGTGGCTGCGACCCGTGAGAACGCGTCGCCTCTGCTCCACTCGCGCCGCTCTCGACTGCGCTGCCGCCCTCGCGTTGGCCCGCGCCCCCAACGCTCCCTCTGTTCGTTTTTTTTTTTTTCGTTGGTTCCCTGGGGCTCGCGGGGCCTGGCGAGGTAGGCCTTCCCGAAGGAATCCCTGCCGCGGATAATCAGAGGCCTCCTAGATGGGGTCGTAGTAGATGGGGTCGGAGGATCGCGCCGCATCGCCGATGCATCGGCGATGCATTGACGATGCATCGGGGATGAACGGGCGATGCATCGTCGGCGTCGGCGATGCATCGGCGACGTCGACGTGAAGCAAATCGGGCTGCACATCGAGCCGCATCGGCGATGCACCAGCGATGCGGCGCGATCCTCCGACCCTATCTACTCCGACCCCATCTAGGAAGCCTAGAGATAACCAGTATGCGCATCTGCCCCGCCCGCGTGCCGCGCTGCGCTGGTACGCCACCTTCGCCACTGCGGGCTCGAATGGTAAATTGGAGCGCCCCGCTGCGCTCTTGCATCGCAGTCCTCCTGCCCGCAGCCTCGTGCCCCAGGTACTTGCGTGACCCGCCGTGGCCGTCTCGATGCAAAACGCCACTGCTGCCTGCCACGGCCATCCCGCGCGCTGCTCCCGGCTCGGCGACGTGCGCGGGCGTGGCAACTTTGTCACCTGCCTCGCGGTGTCCCGCGGCTACTCTCTACCCATCACTCTTAATTTCGCAGGCCTAGAGATTGACACCAACACCAATTTCGGCGGTGTGCCTCCACCGAGGGAAGAAGATCCCGATCTCGGTGATGGTGGTAATATTCTGGCTTCCAAGGTGGCCGAACTATTACCACCAACACCGAAAATCTAGGATCACCTTCCCCCTGTGGAGGCAACCCCCTGTCTTGGTGTTGGTGCCAATTTCCAGGCCTCCGATAATTGCGCTTCCGTGAGTTGCGCTATAATTGCGCACAATATTCGAAACCTCTGCGCGCTTCTTCGGGCAAGGCGCAGCCCGGGCTCAGTGGTCCACCCGTGTCGTGTGCCCCCGGGTCGACGGTGACTGCCATCGCTGTCACCTTCGAAGACGGGTTGTCGTTGGGGGCTGCGTTCGTTTCGTCTGTCTCGTTGATCGCCTCAACTGATCCTGCGTCTCCTGGGCTTTCTCGTGCTCGGCATCCAAAGAACTCGCAACGACCAGGCTTCTGACACTTCATTCTACCTGTTGCAGCATTTCACGTGCCAACCTATGTTTTAACGCTGGCTGGGGTTTCCCATGGGGGCTTCAGGCGGGCCAGCGTGTTCCCGGGTGACCGCGTAACATCCGGGATCCGTCTCTGGCTGTGTTCACTGCTTGCTTGTCCTACTTCATTGGCACTCCTGGTGCAGTTGGCTGCGATGTGACCTTGACCACATGTATAGCACTCGCGTTCGCTCCTGGGACCGTGGCCTTTGCCACCAAACTTGCCCCCATGGCTGACTCGTCTGTTTGCCGTACCCCCTGTAGCCGCCGTGGCTGCCATTGATAGGTCCCTTCTACCATATTGGGCATCCCTTGCCCATGCCATTGCTCTTGCTGTTGCCCTTGGCTCTGTAATACTTTCCCATGTGGTCCATCTTTCTGCATTCATAACAAATCGTGCTTCTGTACCTCTCCCTCATTGACTGCGCCCGCATCCCCGTCGCCCCAACTTTGCTCCTCTTTCGAACCATGGTTCCGTTTTCGTCTGCAGGCCACCAGATGCCTCCCTCGTCAGATTCCCCCTGGAAACAACGCGGGTAAACTCCTGAGGTATTGGCGTTTCTCTTTCTTTTCGACTCCACCGATGTCCATTGCGCCGCCGTTCCTGTGTCCGCGTCCAACTTTCGCTCCCGAACCCAATCCTCAAGCCAACAATCTCATCTGTGATATGAGTTGGTGAAAACGAGCGTCTTGACACAATCTTATTGCCAATCGGCAAACCGCTCTCCAGCACGTGACATTAAGTCTTGCAATGCCGTTATCTTGAAGGGGAGAGGTATTTCATGCGATTTCCCATTTTCCTAGAAAGCTTTCCCCAAGGTGCTTTGGTTGGACTGATGTACCGATGATCTTCTTGGGCCCGTCGGGTTTCATGGCGGACGCCGTCTTAATCGATAGGGTTGCTCTCGTTACTCCAGTTACTGCAGCGTACCATTCAAACATTCATGTGCGTTATCTGCTTTCCACCTTCGTTGAGGCCGTGCAATATGCCCCGTGCCTCGATACTCTTCAGTTTCTCAACGCAAAAAGCACCACATATCTTCATCACATTGACGAGCTTCATCTCTGTTCGAAACGTGATGTAATCCCAACTCGTCTTCTGCCTTGTTTTTTCGGGAAGCATGTTGTTGCACTCCGCTGCCGCTACTCTCCCGCTTAACACCCTTAGCTTGTCCCTTCCCCCACTGGGATCAAGTACTGTTCCGTCCATTGCTTCCTAGTGTGAACTCAACATGTCGAGGGCCTTGCAATTTTATCGTTGACCTGTGCCCAAAAACACTCACTTGCAGGTCGTTCCATTCACAGAACTTCGTTCGGTCACAGCTCAAACTCTTCAACGATTGGATCGCCTTCGGTTCGGTCATCGGTGTAGGTGTTTTTTCCTTCGGGTCCCACTGTGCCCGCTACGTGTGCGAGGGTCGTTTGCATGTTCGTATCGTCCTCCATCAATTTCTCTACCTCGGCCACTCGTGTCCTCACGTGCCTGGTCTCTGCCTGGTGTTTGAACTCGCGGCTAATAATGCTCATTCGTGCCGCGTTCGAACTGTCAGACGTCCTCGCCAGTGACATCGCGTGCTCGCTGGGCAGTTCTTGGTTACTCGAGCGCTTCTTTGTTTGTTGTTCTCCTATATCGTTCTTCATCGCGTCGTGATTAGCCAGCGGGCTGGCGTTGACCAACTCATGGTCACCTTAATTGTATGCGGTCAGGTAATTAAGCCCGAACTTGGCGAGGTCTTTGCTGTCGCGTGGTGTGCAGTGCCGTTCCCGCTGTCACTGCCATGGCTTCGCTGCGCTACAAGTTGAATTTAACAGAACGATGGTCATGGGGGTTTCTTTTTTCACTGCGTGGCTAGAATAAGGGTGCTGATGAGGTCTACACCGCCGTGCGGCGGTTATGACTCTTGAGCCAACCACCAATGGTTGCACAATAACCTGACGGCCTACATTGAAACATCCGCTCCTCCTTCTCCTGCTCCTGCTCCTCCTCCTCCTCCTCCCCGCATCACGCCGAATGCCAAACAGAGAGCTTGAGCATCCGCCCGCGCTGAAGGAGTCGGGCGACAAAGAAGGGGAGCTCGTGGCCGCAGCTGGCCTCGAACCACATGAAATCGAAACTGGAGTAGTGGGAGGTGCAGTCGAACGGTTCTCCAGTGGTGCCTTGCCCCACCCCCCGCTTCCCTGTCTTCGTCTTTACCGAGGCCGGGGGGCCGCGTGGGGATAAGGACGGATCCCCTATGGATGGGGCAGTGAGTGCCTGGCCGATCCGAAACACAAGCAAATTTCAGCGAACATCTGGACACAGAGAGGGACGGGATTGGCTTATCCACGCCGGAGCCGACTCGCGTTTACCTCAGCTCAGGAGGAGGAGGAGGAGGAGGAGGAGGAGGAGGAGGAGGAGGAGGAGGAGGAGGTCGGCGGCGTCGACTCGGCGCATCGTTTACCTCAGCTCAGCCGCCTACCTCGGCGCCTCGCGCCCCGCGGTGTGCGGCGCGCGGCAATCTTCGCGCCCTCGCGCCGCCGCCCTGGACAGAGGGCGCTCCTCCAGGCCAGGCCGCGATGCGTTGAGCGCGGAGCTGGCCATCGCTCGGACGTCCATTCCCTGTGTTTTTTTCGGTTTCGTGCGTGTTTTTTTCGCCAAGTGATCGAGGATGCTCCTCGATGGTCCTCGCCCAAGGAAAAATGCACACGTCCGAGCGATGCCAAGGGAGATGTTCGCGCCCTTGCGGGGGACCTGGGCAAGGCGCGCCCCCGAACCAAAAACAAATGGCGCCTGCCTGCCGCTTTCCGGCGCGCTGCCAGAGAACCCGTCCAGCTGGGTGGGCCCACCTGGGTGGAACCGATGGGGTTGAGCCTAGGGGGACTCCTGCATGGGGTCCGAGCAGAGGCGGGTCGAAGGCTGGCGCCGCATCGCCAATGCATCCCCGATGCATCGGGGACGTCGGCGATGCATCGCCAACGTCGGCGTGGGGAATCACGGGCTCCACATCGAGCCGCATCGCCAGTGCATCGGCGATGCGGCGCGATCCTCCGACCCCGTCTGCTCGGACCCCATCTGGGAGGCCTGGGGAGCCCCCGCGCGGGGCCTCACGATGTGGGTGTGCGCCTCCGTGTGCCCCTGCGGGTCCGACCAGGATGGCGGTTTACCCCGACGCTGCGCGGCCTCTGTAAAGGGGCCCTGACACACAGACTCACACACACACACACGCACGCACACACACACACACACGCACACACACAAACACAAACACAAACACAAACACACACACACACACACGCACGCACACTCACCACACACACACACCACACACAGACACAGACACACACACAGACACAGACACAGACACACAGACAGACACACAGACACAGGCACACACACAGACACACAGACACACAGACACACAGACACAGACACAGACACACACACAGACACAGACACACAGACACAGACACACACACACAGACACACACACAGACACAGGCACACACACAGACACACAGACACAGACAGACACAGACACAGACACACACAGACACAGACACACACACAGACACAGACACACACACAGACACAGACACACAGACACACAGACACACACAGACACAGACACACACACACACACGCAGACACAGACACACACACACACAGACACAGACACAGACACACACACAGACACAGACACACACACAGACACAGACACACACAGACACAGACACACACACAGACACACACACACAGACACAGACACACACACACAGACACAGACACACACAGACACACACACACACTGACACAGACACACACACACAGACACACACAGACATACACAGACACACACACACACACAGACACACACAGACACACACAGACACACACAGACACACACACACGGATATCAGACACACAGACACACAGATACACACAGAGACACACACAGAGACACACACCGACACACACAGACACACACAAACACACACACAGACACAGAAACACACACACAGACACACACACAAACACACACAGAGACACACACAGAGACACACACACCACACAGACAGCACACACCACACACACACCACACACACACCACACACTCACACCACACACTCACACCACACACACTACACACCACACACACATCACACGCATCACACACATCACACACACACACGCACACACAAACACACAAACACATACGCAGAGAGAGAGAGAGAGAGACACACACATACACGCACGAACGCACAAAACACACACACACAACACACAAACACAGACAGACAGACAGACAGACAGACAGACAGACATACAGACAGACAGACAGACAGACAGACAGACAGACAGACAGACAGACACACGGACAGACAGACAGACAGACAGACAGACAGACAGACAGACAGACAGGCAGAGAGACACGTACATACATACATACATACATACATACATACATACATACATGCATGCATACATACATACATACATACATACATACACACACATCGACTCAAGTCCCAGGCTCCCCCATCTTTTCCCATATTTTTCTGGGTGCTCGTCATCCCCCCCTCATTTCCCCCACTCTCTACCCTGCTCTAAAAGGGTCGACGCTTCACTGGACCGACCTGATCGTCTGTGCCTCTGGATCGGCCCGCCGTGCTGGCTCGGCGGCGCGCCACAGGGGGGGGGGGAGGGGCAAAGAGAGGGCCGGCGGTCCTTCGTTGCAGGCTCCGAGGAAGCCTCTGGGCCTCTCAGAAGCTGTGTGGGCCTCCTCCGAAGCCGCAGAGGGCCTCTCAGGAGGCCCGGGGAGATTTTGAGATCCTCCTCCCCCTCGTTCTCACCTCCTCCCTAATCCTCCTCATCCAAAGAAGAAGAAGAAGCCTCCCTCCTCCAGAAGAAAGTCAGACTCCTCCTCCTCTCCCCCCCTCCTCCTCCTCCCTCCTCCTTCTCCTCCTCCTCCTCCTCCTCCTCCTCCTCCTCCTCCTGTCCGTAGCCATTTTGGCTCAAGGTCCGTAGCAGGAGGCTCAAGGACCTAGAGTTTCTTTGGCACTGGGGAGTGACGGCCCCAACCGTTTCCACACTTCTTACAGCTTGTACTGAGGTTTCATCCCTCATCTGCGACACACAATAGCCACGGAGCGTGGTTGCTCTCGCCGCGCGTGCTGCAGCCTGGCGTCGTGGGGATGCCTCCGCCGCACTACCGCTCGGAGCAGGCGCTTCCCTGGTACTGCAAGAGCTGCTGCGGGCCCTCGGGGAGATCGTGGTGGAATCATGCAGAGGCTCGGCAGTGTGCGAAGTGCAAGCTCGGCAAGGGACTGGTCTTCCACGGAGTACGCAAGTCGTCCGCCCCCTCCCAGCGGAGGAAGGGTTACCTGGGCGGCGGTGGCAACGGCTACTGGGATGACTCCGTCAGGGTGGCCCAGCTCAAGTCCGAGCTCGCGGCGGCTCGCAAGCGGCTGGCAGCTGTGCAGAGGCCGCCGCCTGGCGGGGAGGACGTGCAGATGGAGCCCGCTGCGGACGGGGACGCCCCCGAGTCCGTTGCCAAGGACAGGCTGCGCGAGGTCGGCGACCTCATCGGCAAGCTCAAGGGCATCGCGGAGCCGTCGGTCGTTGCCACGCGCGACAAGCTGCTGGCGGAGCAGGCCGAGCTGCGGGCCAAGGTGGCGGAGTCTCGACCGCTCGGGCAGCGCTTGCGCGAGATGGGGGCTCAGTTCACCAGGCAGCAGAAGCTGCGGGACGACCAGCAGACTAAGCTGGAAGGACTGCAGGCGCAGATACGTGACTTGCAGGAGAAGGAGCGGATCACTCGTGACAAGCTGGCGGCCATCGACGCTAGCATGGAGGAGCTGGACCAGGAGCGCAAGAAGCTTCAAGGGCAGGTTCCTACGCCAGGTGACAAGGCATCGCTTGACGAGCCGATCAAAGGGGTCGGCGCCACGATCGAAGGCCTTGGTATCTTGCTCCAGAGCCTGGGCGCCGATCACCAGCTGTCGGGCAGCCTCGCGGCGAGTTTTCAGGAGTTGCAGAGGTTGCAGGTGGAGGAGGCTGCGAAGCTGGCAGCCCAGAAGGCGCAGGCCGCTGCTGAGGCCGAGGCTTGTGCCAATGTTGAGCAGGCCGAGCAGCAGGACACTGCAGCAGCCCCTCGCACACCACAGCCAGCAGTCTTCTCTGATGACCCCGAGTTCATGGAGGAGGTCGTCGCTGCTGGTGGCGAAAAGCACAGGCTGGAGGAGATCTTCATGCGATGGGGCGCCAAGGTCAAGAAGCCCAGGCTCACCCCTGTCTAGCCTGGTTCCACGGTGCTGTCTTGTGTGGTTGGTTCCTTTTTGTTGCAACATGGCGTCGCTATCAAGTATTACTACCGTGAACGTGTCCTCGGGCGGCCCGCTCGTCGACTTCCTGCCCACGTGCTCAAGTTTGTGCATCGCTGTGCAGGAACATCATGCTAAGGCTGAGGGCGAGGCCTTGGCGAAGTTACAGAATAAGGTACGAGCTGCTGGGTACCATGGAATATGGGAGCCTGCCTTACCAGGGCAGGGAGCTGGCAGCAGAGGCGGGGTCGCGGTGTTGGCCCCGTTGCGGGTGGTCATCACCAAACCCCCAGGCGTTGACAGTCACGTGCTTCATGATGGCAGGATGATGGCGGCCCACGTTCACGCCGGGGTGAAGGGCGGCTTCGTCATGTTGTCGTGCTACTTCGTCGTCGACGTGAAGCTGTCGCCTGAGAATCTGGCCATGCTGTACAAGCTGTACCAGTACGTCAGGTCGCTGGAGGCGATGGGCGTCCCGTGGATTGTCGGAGGTGATTTCAACATGGAGGTGGGCGAGCTAGGCCCGTTGTCCTGGCTCCAGTCGGCCAATGGGGTGGTGATGGCGCCGAGGGAGCCAACGTGTCTTCAGAGCCTTCCTGGCCGCACCATTGACATGTTCATGGTCTCCTGCCGTTTGCTACCTCGCGTTCGGCAACCGGTGGTGGTTGACGCGGAGACGTGGCCGCATCTGCCCGTGACCATGGAGCTCTCCGCCACGGCCTTCGACGCGAAGGTCAGGAGGCTAGTCGAGCCTCGCGGCATTCGTAGCCCGCCTGCGTCGGGGTGTGCGAGGTTTCCCCCCGACTGGGACCCGATCATGGTGGTCATCCAGAGCGCGACCGACAGCGAGGGCATCAC